TCTAATATTCTGGTGCAAATTAAGAAATATGATTAGGCAGCTCAAAATCTTACCTGCTATGGAAATAGTCAGGAAAACCATAAGCGAAGGCAAAACATTCGAAGTGGCAAGCATATAGCAAAAGAATTTGCTAAAGAAGAAAGGGGGGATTTGATATGGGAAACTGGTGTTATAAACTGCTTTATAACTCTCCGTGAGTTGTAGGGTTTGTTTCCGCATGTCAGGAGGTGTCACTAATATGCAGTGATGACCACTGGAATCAAGCCCTGAATCCTGCCTGCTCATCCACTGTTAGGTACTGGGGCCTCACATGGATCAGAGTCCGCAAGGACCTTACAGACTTCCCCCATGGAGTCACGTTGAAGGAGCACTGACATCTGTCATGTGAACAGCACAGCGGAGGCTGCCAGGGAAGTGTGGACAAACCAGTGAAGAGGAGAGTGGGTTAAGTGTAGACAACCTGGCAGACATACAGCAGGAGGGCAAACAAACAGTCATCAGTCCACCCTTGGTGTATAAAAAGTGTCCCCCCCCCGCAACAGAGGGACAGCTGTGAGGAGGGGTTGCCAGCAGTGGTAGGCTCTTGGCCACTTCACTTCTGTGGGCTCCCAGCCACTGTTCACCCTGACATTTAGAGTTGCTTTTGGCCATTGTTTTCTTGTGGTTATATCCTTCCTTAACACTAGCTTATAATAACACATTGTTTCCATGGGTCTCCTAATTGCTGCCTCCATACACACACAGTTGTTTCTGTACTCTGTAGTACACAGGGAATATAGGTCTGGGCACTCTTGGTGTGTATATACAATCTTACCATCCCTGGAGAGACAGCACTCACACCTAACTTCTATTGCTACAGATACACTACACATCAGCCTAATGAATCTCTTCTATAACAATGTCACAAACTCTTTTTACAAGGGCCTGTAATGACAGGACATGGGGCAATGGCTTTAAATTGAAAGCAGGGAAATTTAGATTGGATATCAGGAAGAAGTTCTTCACGGAGAGGGTGGTGAGGCACTGGAACAGGTTGCCCAGAGAAGCCGTGGATGCCCTATCCCTGGAAGTGTTCAAGGCCAGGCTGGATGACGCTTTGAGCAATCTGGTCTGGTGAAAGGAGTCCCTGCAGCCATGGCAGAGGGTTGGAACTAGATGATCTTTAAGGTCCCTTCCAACAGAAACCAAACCGTTCTGTGATTCCATGATTAACTTCACCTACCACAAGTGCTATTTGGATGTTCTGATGCTCTGACGTGGTGCATGACTTCCTTCCATTACACATGCAATGCTGTCACTGCAGAGTTCAACCCACACTCTCCTGCAGGAATGTCTTTTTATACCCCTCACGCTTACAACAGGTAGTAAAGTGTTTCTCAGAGCTTGCCAGTGCGCTCCTAGATCAGACTTAAGGAGAACTGCACATCCCACCAAGAATGATCTTTTAAGACAGCTTACCAAGTCCTAAGCAGTATCTGTAGAAGATGGCCCCTCTTCCATTTTTTCCTTCATTTAGAGTTTCCCTGAGTTGCCTGTCTCACTTGGTATCCCCTAGGATCTAGACTAAATAGAAATGCTTGCATCAGACACAATATAAAAGTTGGAGATGGCCATACAATATAAAAAAAAGAGAAAGAAACTCATAGGCAAAATTATGCCTCCCGAAAGCTGGTCCTTTTCTTCTTTGTCTTTTTTCCCTCCTGTTGCTGTCTCAAAAGCATGACAGAAAAATGGCAAAGTGAATATCAGAGCTTGCAAGCAAAATTATGCCTCAGTGGCCTGAAACAAAATCCATTAGACTCATAATGTCACCTATGGGGAAGGATAAGAGGAGAGAGAATATCTATGCTGTGGCAGTAACATAATCACCACTTTGAAAACATTACCCAAGACAACCATGTACTTACTGTTTTGGCCTAGCTAACTTACCTACTGTGTGCTGCCCAGGCGGTTAATTGCGCTGGCTTCTAGCCATACGCCTTCAGTGAAGTGCACTGCCTTAGACTGAAGATATTTCATCTTTACTGTAATCTCTGCTAGCCCAGAACCTGTTCCACAGCAAGGTATCAAGAATTTTCTGACATAACCACAGAAGGTGCAGTCAAGTTACCATCACAGCTTAGAAATGGAAGAGAGTTGGACAACAGATATTACAGAAGTGGCAGTGGGTGCAAAGACACATTTTGCAAATACTTCTCACATCACCACTGTAGCAGCCTTTCCTGTTAGGAAAGTTTAAAGACAGAGATTCTCCATTTAATGAGGTGTTCTGATTAGTTCTCCCAAAATCACTTCTCTGTGTTCTTCACCCTCTTTCCATATGTTAAAATTACTGCAATTAAAATGCATGTTACAAAACACTGCTGTTCATTAGTCCCCTCCCACAATGTACCTCCTTATGGTCCCGCCTTAAAACTTTCTGTAAGCAGGAAAGTTTCCGGTCACAGCAGAAGGACATTATCAGACTTGTTCACCCACAGGGGTTAACTAAATTGCTGATAGATTGCTCCAAAAGTACAGGAATATTCACATACACCGAATCAGTTCAAGTCATCTCAGTATTAAATCTGCCGTGACAGACTGACATGAAAGATGCATCTCCCAGTAACTAGCATCCTTACCATAAAGTCTGTGGCTACAAAGAATATGAAGTGTCTTCACTGAAATCTCCTCTATCCAGCTCTAAAACCGAGCTATCTTACTGCTTGTGGGACCAGTCCACCAAAACAGGTGTTAATCGCTGTCCTGCCGATAAACAAACAGCTGTTATCTGCAGGATTTCCTAACAAGTACTTTCCACAGACCGTGACGGTCCAACAATTTTAAGAAAGCTCTTACCCAAAACCTTTTCTGGAATTGTTCCTATTTCTCCAGAAACAGGCTGTTCTGGAAAAACATACTCCTTTCATACACATATATTTTTCTCTGTAAAGCAGCAAGCAATTCTGAGTCATAGCAAGCATTGTGCTCTAAAGCTACGCAATCTGCAGCAGGGCTAAGGGTTAGCAGTCTAACACCAAGGTTTGGTTAAGCACGGGTAACTTGATGATAGAATTACTCTATTGCTAAAAACTTTGATTCCTGGGCAATCCGTTGCCCTTTCTATGTTTGCTGCAACTGGAACATCCAGAAAAGCTGTCACAGCTTCAAAGGTAAGAGCTTCCAATGTTTAAAGAAAATAAAGCTTCTGATTTTTGAAGTTGTGACAGTACTTCCAAATTTTTACTTAGGCCAATTTTGGAAATCTGAGCTGTGCTACAAACTTTTATCTTTAATTAGTGTAAACGTTATATTTTCATTCTAGTGGCTATAAATCTCAGCTCATACATTTCACCTTTTGGATCGGTGGCTCCCTGTATTTAGGGTAATTTTAATTTGGAGAGTTTCTAGCTTTTTCATTGCAAAGATGACAGGGGAGCAAGGTAAATTCTGACTTGTCCATGTTCTTTTTCCTAACGTAAATTTCCATTTCAAAACATATTCAAAGAATTTTATTTCACATTCTGCTGTTTTATTTAGGTTTTCCTTAGCTGCAAAACAAATTTTGGAAAGCTAGCAGATCACAAGAAGGGCCTTGACCTCTCCCTTCCTCCCATGCTGGCAACTCCCAAAGCTGTTCTTTCAACATACCGGTTCAAAACAGCGATTTATCTTTTGAAGTGCCATCTTACAGGGCTGAGGAAAAGGTTTTGAGGTGTTTTTGTTGTTGTTTGTTTTTAAAGGGAAAGAAAACCTTATTTAGGAAAAAATACTTTATTTTTCCAAAACATGTTTAAACAGACTGCAGCAAGAACAAAAAACGGTAAAAAAAAAAAAAAATTACTTACACAGCCTGCAGTAGTCAATAAAACACTAATCAAATATCTAACTTTTTGTCAAAGTCCTTTTGGATCCAATATATATTTTTCTTATTACAGAGGTAAAACCCACTTTACAGTGACATCAGATAGTTTGTAAGACCACTGTAAGACAGTCACTAGTATTTGCCTTCTAGGTATCCCAGCTTTTGACATGGTTTTATTTTACTCCAGATACATTGGGTGTAGTCAGAAGTCAAGCATAAATTTCCTTCCTTGTGTCAGGAGTTCAGCATTAACCTCAGTAGGTTTGCCAGGAATCTACCAAAAGCCTTTCCTGGGTAAATATTTTTATCCTGGTAGAAACTTTTTGCACCTGTCAATCCAATCAGTGCCCATACACGGTTATCCACTCCTTCAAAAGGGAACAGCTGTGCAAAATGCGGCAGCACAGCTGCATAGATCTTTCTCCCTCAAAGCCTACAAGTTTTTTTGCTACCTTTCACAACTAATGGTGTACTGGAGCGTGTGGCATGGTGAGCAACCCTAAGAAGAACATATGTAGTAAGTCAAAAACTGTCAAGGAGGTTTCTCCTCCCATGCCCATCTTTGCAGAGGAGGCTGAAACAAGTCAGTATGGACGGTGATCTCTTCTGCAGTATGCTAACATTATGAAAAATTTAAAACCAGGTATTTATTTCTTCCTGTCAAACTGTAACTTAGTCAACCTAAGCAGGAGTGAAACATTTGATAAATTCTACACACATGCAAAGTATAAACAAAAATTGTCACACCTTTATTACCATGCCAATATTGTCTCTGCAATTATCTCAAGTGTTTCTGTTGTGATCATTTGTTTTGCACTGCAAAGCTCATTTTGGTCAATCTTATTTTCCCTCTCTAGCTAAACCTTTCAGAAAAAGCTAAGGGTGAAGATACACAGAACTGGAGCATCCACTGCACTAAGTCTTGAGGGCACAGGGCCATCAGAGGCACTTGTGTCTCATGCAGTGGAACACAGTGCAGAGAGTCCCAAGCCAGCCCAGACTCCAGCCGGCCATTCCATGCAGCACACAATACTGGCATTGCATTTATAAACAGCACAGGTTTAAAAAGCCTGAAGTCAGCTTTATTGTTCATATGTAACAACCTTGGGTACCTCCGCACTGGAATCCTCACTGGTTTCCCTACCTCAGAATAAGCACAGGGAAGGGTAGCTTTCATCAGATCTTTGCAGCGTTTTCTGTCACAACATTTTATGAAATCTGCAGATGTTTCTTATCTTATAGTTTTGCTAAGGTTGGAAAATCCAATGCCAACACATGTCATTAAGACCTTCTCCCCGCCCATGTGCTCTTCCTCAGGGGTCTTTGTTTCGATTTTAAACATGATGTGGAAGAAGCTTCTCAGGTGTTGCAGAAATTCAATTCTGAGGGAGAGAAAACAACAGAGTTTAAGAAACAAAACAGAAACCCCATTAATACTATGTACTAACACTGATTCCAGCAATGACAACACTGAAAAGAACATGAAAAGACTTCTTAGTACAGAGAAACAAGCCTACAGGCTTCAAACACTGTACTCACTTGTGTTTGCAGAAGTGGCTAGTGACCCCTACTGAAAGAAATGCACTTTCTGCATGAGCAGAGAGAGAAAAAATGCCTGGTAACAGCAAGACAAAATGGTGAGGGAAGAAGAAAGGAAGGAGAAAGAAGAGAGGTAGCCAGGCAAGGTCACTTACTCATGATGCTGACTCTCCATCAGGGCCATATGAACCCCATACCAACCTGTGGTACTCCTCCCCCCCAATCTTTAAAGCAGAAATAAAAGATAAACAGGGATAGCCAAGAGGTTGGCTTTAAGTACATACTTTAAGAACACCACCAGCAGATCCTAAAGCACGTGTTTGATTTGTATTACTGATTTGTCCACTTCCTAGCTAAATGTTTTGTTAGAATCACAGTCAGACTGAAAACTATTGCTGTTTTCTCTCCTTATTTTCAGAAAAAAAAGTAATTTTCCTTTTATCATTTTAGAATGAGAGGCACAAAGAGACACAGTGCTCCTAAACCCATACTATGACTATCCAGTAACAGGAGTCACTGTGAGGAGGGTGACAGGAAAAAACTACTGAAAAGTAAAAAAAAAAACCAAACAAAAAACCAAACACCCCACCCCCCAAAAAAAAGAAAGAACAAACCCCAAACCAGCCAAGAAAACATTCCTACTGGCTTCCCCGAAACAAGGAACAAGCAATTACACCAAGAGGCTACAATTATAAAACTGGTAATTGCTCCTGACAGAAGTCTGGTCTCTTCCAGTCATAGCCACATGCAAGTCTGAAGTCTTGAACTAAGGTTTAACCTGCATGAACTGGTACGTGCCCTTCGTGGGTTAAGTTTAACTTTTAAAGAAAGAGAATGTGCACATCCAGTCCACACATTTGTTTGGCTGGCAATCTGGAAAAAGCCCCTGCTCTGCAGGCTGAGAGCATAATCGCAAGCTAATCACACATCATTACAACAAATCAAGAGAAAGTACCCACAAAATGGGATGCAGGAGACCAAGGACAGGACTGCCCCACTGCAACATCGTGAGGCCTCTGAAAGCCGCCTGGCAGCTCCTATTCACAGAAATTCTGAATAAGCACAAGAGCTGCAAGAACAAGAACTGCCTTACCCACTTCAGCTGGGCATGCTGCTGCTCCTGCACTTGGGCATGTGCATGGGGAGAGGAGGGAAACAGTAGGAGCCAAAGAAAGGCTGCTATTACCTACACTGGTCTGTGCTTCGCAGGATCTGAGAGCTACCCCTGGGGCAGTCAGCTGAATGACTGCAGGGTGAATGGGAGCACGTGGCTCCCCATGCTATCTACACCTTCCTACTATACCTTCTGGGCTGGCAACTGGCCTCAGCACAGACATCAGCTCTCTCAGCTCTCAGATGGATTAGCAGTTGAATGAGAGAACTGAAAAAGTGCCTTTTCTTTCATGGCTCCCCAACTGCAAGTTGCTGCTGTAACAGACAAACAGGCACATGCTGGCACAATTCTTCAGTAAAGCTGACAGGCAACAAGCTCCTTTCCCAGATCTCTGGCAGTGTAACAAGAAAGCAGCCAAGCCCAAAACAGCAGGAGCAGTGAGCTGAACTGCAAGGAGGGCACAGAATAAACTATAGAAATGGCAGGGGCAGCATGGAGTTGGAGGCTGAAGGGGAAAACCTAAAAGCTGATCAGCAAACTCTGCAACACATTGTCGGAATCAGTTCAGTCTTTGCTCCATACTCTGCACGTATCTGGATTACCATGCTTCTCCACCTCTTCTCCCTTTTAAATAAAGGCAGTGAGAAAGAACAAGGGGCCCTTGTCACAGCCCCTGGGCTCACGGGAAAGGCTCACGGGGGTGGGAGCCAAGGGGAGGCTGTCTGGGAATGTTGGGGGAGAATTTGGGGGCAGCAAGAGACCAGCTCTGTCCTGCAGCAGTAGCAGCCTAAGTGGTAAGATCCCTGGAAACAGGAGAAAAAAAAAAAATGGGGGAAAAAAGCAAGGGCATGTGACCGAAGTGCAGCAGAAAGCAGAGCTTCACACTTTTCCTTAGGCCCAGGGACAGATACATGAGACACATGGGGGGGGTTTCCTCAGGGCCAACCACTTTCAATAAAAAACAATTCTACTACAAAAAAAGTTAAAAGTCTGTTGATCTAAGTGCTATCTTCTCCCAAAAACCTGCTAAGTGACACCAAAAGGTACACAAGCACCTCACACATTTTAGCTCATTGCCAGGGCAGCCACCAACCCACAGAGCAGTGCGAGGAGACCCGTTCACTAGCAACTCCCCCTTGGATCAACTGCCTTGGGAACAGCACAGGACACACTGCCTGGCAGCATTGTCAGCCCCAGCATCGCTTCCCTCCGTCCTGCCAGAGTGAAACCAAGGGAGCCAGGCCTGACCAGCAGGTGCTGAAGCACCACGCTGCGGGGAGGCCCAGTCCCCACTGGGTGGGCAGTGGGTGGAGGTGGACAGGTGGTGAGGACTGACAGCCCTGACCATGGGCAGGGATCAGGAACAACAGGCAGAGGACCCCCGCCCAGCCCCATCCCCTCCACTTGGAGAGTCTAAACCCTATCAAAACCAAGGGTCGGGGCATTCAAGCTTTACATGTTGCTCCCCATGTACCCCTGGCTCATGCCTATTATCCCAAAGGCAGATTAGCCTTTCCTGCAAGACTGTCTCTCTGACTACTGCATCCAGCTCCACAACCCTCTGTGTAACGAGGACGTGGGCCAGTTGAAGGCAAGTCCATAGGAGGCCACAAAGGTGATCAGAGGGCTGGAGCACTTCTCCTATGGGGAAAGACTGAGAGAACTGGGCTTGTTCAGCCTGAAGAAGAGAAAGCTCTGGGAAGACCTTACTGCAGCCTTCCAGTACCTGAAGGGGCCTACAAGAAAGCTGGGGGGGACTTTGTACAAGGGCCTGTAGTGACAGGACAAAGGGTAACGGGTTTAAACTGCAAGAGGGTAGATTTAGATTAGGTATAAGGAAGAAATTCTTCACAGAGAGGATAGTGAGGCACTGGAACAGGTTGCCCAGAAAAGCTGTGGATGCCCCATCCCTGGAAGTGTTCAAGGCCAGGCTGGATGAGGCTTGGAGCAACCTGGTCTAGTGGAAGGTGTCCCTGCCCATGGCAGGGGGGGTGGAACTAGATGGTCTTTAAGGTCCCTTCCAACCCAAACCACTCCATGATTCTATGCGGTGGCAACACAGCACCCTAAATTTGATTTTAAGCTCAGCTTGACAGACACCTACTTCCCTGAAATTTGGAGCATAAGACAAAAGGAGGTAATCCAGACGGCTGTAGGCCAAGTGGTTTTTTGGGGACTGGTGTGCCCAAGTACTACTCAGGACAGCCCTGCTTATGGTCTTGCATCCTGCCCCGCCATGCCGTTTAGCAGGGGCAAAGGTTGTCTCCTGTGGAAATAAACAAATCTGGGAGACGTTTCCCTATTCTGATGGATGTATTCCAAAGCACCACATCCCCACATGGTGCTTTCATCTGTCAACTGAACTGTCACATTCATGCTATACTGTACTAGACAGGGAAGCCAATCTGATGTAACACAGCTTATAAATAGTTTTAGATTCTGCATGGTGAAAGTGTTAAATAAAGACATGTCACAGCCCCAAGAGAGTGAAAGAGGGACAATGAAGTGGAATATGACAGTACTGCAAATTACTTCGAAAGCCCATGCATCCAATGAGTTGCTCTGAAGCCAAATTTCCCATCCCTTTATGAGCTGCCTGCGTGAGGGCATGGGGTTCTGCAGACATTGCTGCGTGATCTCTGAACAGATCCTCACAGGACTGATGAGTCACAAATTCTCACAGAATTACAGATTTTATGATCTCATGTGACACAAGCTGCTTCAGGATGTCTGCTCCTGACTTTCATCCCTCCCGCACACTTCTGGCTTGGAAGTAGTGACAACCCACCCATTTAAAATCAGCCAGCTTACAAAATAAACTAGTGTGCTTTTGTGATTTTCATAGCATTGGGGGGGGGGAAAAAAAAAAAAGGCAAAACCAAATCTGGATGAAGACAAGTGATGGGTTCGTTTCACATGCTTAACTGTATACGTCAAACACTGGTGGTTTTGCAGGGGATTACTTTACCCTGCAATGGGAGGCTTCCCTGTCTTCCCCTCAAAACCTGATGAATGTTGTTTCCAAGATATCAGAGGTTGAGAATAGCAGTTATGCAATTTCTAGCTCTCATGTGATGGCACCACCATTCTTCAGTTATCACAGTACTGTACCTTTCACGTATACAGCACCGGTACCATGATAACCGAAAAAGGACAGTTCACAGTCTTATTATTTGATGCCATTGTCATATAAACAACCCTCTCTCCATTTGATTAAAGGAAAACTGTCTCAGACTCTACGAGTAACTGATCTAGCCAATCACTTGACAGTCTGATAGAGCAAATGAGATTTTTGATACTGGATGCCCTTCCCCTAGCCTGTGTGTTGCAACAAGCAACGTAAGAAATTCAGATAACTAAATATCCTCTGAACCATTACCAGCCACAGATGAAGTTTTAATAACACTTGAGACTGAAGGACTAGACAGCAGTCCGTTCACTGCCTGACAGGGCTAAAGCTTTAGGCTTGCACATAGCTCCATGAACTGAACTCTTAGGCTGTTTCCTATGGACAATCACAGCTTTAGTGTTTGCTAGCCTTTTTAAACATGCCATTAATGCCACAGCCACGGGGAGATCATTAGGAAAAGACAACAGTGTATGCCAGGCAACAAAAAGCAAACTGATGTACATGTACAATCCAAGACCAAGAACCAATAATAAACCCCATCTATGCAATTCTAATTACCTCAGAACCAGGAGTAATAAAGCAAGGGAATCGTCTAACATGCAGAAATAAACACTAGGTAACTTACACCACCTGTCTTATTTGAAGACGGGTACAAGTTCTTCTGCTCATAGCCTCAGGCAGTCTTCACGTTTAAAAAAAAAAAATATAGCTGCGCAATAAAACTAGCAAATTAAACAAGACTGGGTAATTAAACTGAACAAAACAACTTACGTGTATGGAGACAGAGGTCCTAACAGGACTTTGGAAACATCCCGTTGTCCAAGGGTCATGAGGAGCAGAGCAAGGCTCTGATTTGTTGAATCTACACAGCCTCCCTGCAAGCCAAAACATTTTAATAATTAATCTCTGTACAAATCAGAAACTGGGAGGAAAGTAACGAAGGAGAAAGATACACTTAAAAGGCTGAATTACCACTCCCAGTTTTCAAGGGCCAAAAAGATAAAAATCTAGGTTTTGTAACAATGACGAATTAATTTCACATGACAGGCTGGGAAAGGAACAGAACTAAACCAAAACCCAGTAATAAGGTCACATTAAAGACTAGTCCCATCTCTCCCAAATCGTTCTCTTTTAACACCACAGAGCGTAAGCACTGAGTAATTTCTTTGCAGTAAACTGAAAATACGTATTAATTACAGTTCCTGTACATTTGAAGATACCATGAAGTCCTGCAATTTGTGGTAACTGTAAAAAGTTACATCTAGACAAATAGTTTGGCACTGGCAGATGCAAAAGAGCAAGTTACAAGTTGTTTCACATACATAGCCGGCTAAGCCCTTGGTGCTAACTTTCGTGGTTTTACATATGTAAAATATTCCCCCCTCCCCATATTTAAAACAAGATTTTTTTTTGTTGCTATGTGGAAGACGCATGCATAATATTATGTAGTACTACACCTACTCCTGTATATATTTGACTGCAGTAAGTCATGCATGCATAGTGAATTGTTTTGTACGTGGAAGGTGTTAACTATGATGCATAGGTAAATTACAATTGGAAGGCTTTCTTTGTACACAAAGCTTGAACGTAAATTAAAAGGGATATTTTCAATAAAGACTGCTGTAGAGAGAATTTACCAGCTATGACTAAGCAAACACATTGAAAATCGAAACAAATACCTGGCATAACATTATTTTGGACTGTCCTAATATTCATCCTGATCCACAGCCACATGAAATATGTGTTCCTACTGGATCAGTCCCAATGTCAAACCCTCTGAACAGGCTCTCTGGAGAGAGCAAAACTAAAAATGCATTCTTTTAAAACCAAATTCTCTAATGAGGTAAACTGACCGTTAACTTTGATGTCAAGGAGTAATCCTGTCATCATTTTAACAGAAAACACCATCCAAAAAGGCAAAGGAGAGGCAAAATAGATTTTGGACTACATAGATTAAGGAAACACAGTGATGTGACAATCTCAGCACTTTTACTTAGTGAGAGGGCAGAGAGAGGACCTTTCTAAAGAGAGTTCCTGAAGGTTTAATTTTCAAGATGGCCTTGTGTCCTGGTTTTGGCTGGGATCGAGTTAATTTTCTTCCCAGTAGCTGGTACAGTGCTGTGCTTTGGATTTAGGATGAGAATAATGTTGGTAAGACACTGATGTTTTAGTTGTTGCTAAGCAGTGTTTACACTATGTCAAGGACTCTTCTGCTTCTTACACTGCTCTGCCAGTCAGTAGGCTGAGGGTGCCCAAGAAGCTGGGAGGGGACACAGCTGGGACAGCTGACACAAACTGGCCAAAGGGATATTCCATACCATATGACGTCATGTTCAGTAATAAACTAACAGAAAGCTGTCCAGGGGCTGCTGCTTGGGAATTGGCTGGGCATCGGTTGGCGGGTGTGAGCAACTGCAACATGAACCACTTATTTCATATACTGCTTTATCATTATTATCATCATCCCTTCCTCTTCTGTCTTACTAAACTATTTTTATCTCAACCCTTGAATTTACTTCTCCCCTTCCTGCCCAATTCCCTCCCCACACCCACTGAGCTGGAGAGTGGGAGCAGGCAAACAGCTGTGTGGTGTTTAGCTGCCTGCTGGGTTAAACAACACCATGTGTCAGCATGAAAAGCCTCATGTCCGGTTTTTTACCTCTGCACTTCAAGCAACTAATGATACACCACAATGAAGGAACCATCTTTTTAACATTCACTGTTGTGACCTACCTCCTAGCAACATGCCCTTACAGCAGCCCCTGACCTTTTAACTGTGTCATCCTGCCATACCAAAGTGGGGTTCACGCATTCAGCTTAATGTCCTCTATGGGACTGAAAAATTGTGGTTTGCCTTGTGCCAACCGGGTACTTGCACGATTTGCTGGTGCGATCTAGAGCCACAGCTTGCACCACCAGCCATATGTGCAAATCTGAAACATGTACAAGAAGCAGATGACAGTCTGGTAAGGAGTATTCCTGGCACAGGACTTTCTGTATCTGTAGCTCAGTAATTCAAAATGCTCTATCACTTGGATGAAAACTTAACTTTTTCTGAGCTTGTTTATGGAGGTTGGGTTTTGGGGTTTTTAAGCTGAAAACATTATAAAACATTTATTTTTATGACCAAATTTATAAAAAAGCTTCAGTCATCACGGAGACAACCACGTCCTAAACAATATAGCAAAACATGTTGCATCCATCACATCCTAGCTGCTTACATATGCTCTCTTGCTGCAATGAATCAGCTGGCCCCACTATTGTTGTGCATCAGCAATGTGCTGTTGTGCCCATTCCCACATAGGCAGTTGGCAGATAGGGAAATTAAGTGATTTGTTTGTAATCTAATGAGGACAGAACAGTAACTTGTGCCAAATGAAGGACATGCCTCTCACTTTTTTCTCTCAATCCACCTGCCACTTACTCAAGAGTCTAGAATAAAAAAAAACCACCCTCCCATTAAAAACAAGATGGGCGAAGTCAGAGCCAAAGTGCTGACATTTGTTCCAAAACAGCTGGCACTCGTTACCAACCTAGGATGCAGCTTCTAGTCCATACTAATTCAGTTTACAGCAGTTTCTCCATCATTGTTTCCATTGACAACAGAGCCAGATCCAGTTGGATGTCACAATTAGGCACAGATCACTTAAAATTCTGTCAATTTTGAAATGCTGTTATACAAATACCACAGCTGACATGCACAGACAAATATCACAACTCTGGGTATTGAAAAGAGGATTATTGTTCTGAGCTTGACCCCAGCTTTGATTTCATTATTGGCTGTATTTTGGCATACCTGCAATTTCCTCCCTTACCTGTGTAGTACATAATTGCATACCTCAGTAATTTATTACCTGAAGTGCAGATTTGGTGGTGTTTGGTTTTGGGTTTTTTGTGGGGTTTTTTGTGGTTTTTCTCTCTTTTTTTTTGTGGGGGATTTTAATTTATTTATTTTCAGAAGAATAGAGCAGTCTTGTCATGCTGAAGTGAGGCCATCTTGAAAATTAAGCCTGCAATGAAATGGTTCACTTGTTTTCAGCTCTAGTTAAATAAGACAAAATGGCCTTATCCCTCCTGCCGTCCAAAGCTCCCCTAACAATTTGACCTTTCTTTGTTAAAAAACTCAGCCTTAAATAGGTATTGCATCCTCTCCTATTACTTAGGATCATAAGGAATACAAAGATTCAATCCTTTTCCAGTTCTTCCAGGCCTTTCCATTCTGCCAATCATCTGCTACATAAAGCTCCCATAACTAACACCTACCAAAGACAAGAGGAAAATCCTTATTGGCCTTCTACAATTAAGCTTAGGTAAGAACTGCATATGGATTTTTAAAGACAGTGCTAGCCACTCACTCCATGTCCCCTCTTTCAGGGCCACTGTAATTAGTACTATGCCACTTACCAGTAGTCAATTAACTCTGACATCTTTCCATCAATAAATGTACATTAAAAAAGCTCCACTGATTCCAAGAACTATATGCTCTCTTTCATTTCTTTGTGAAGGCTTAGCGAAAGGGTCCATTTAGCACTTAACATAGCAAGACTCAAATCCTTAGGTTTCCTAGGTGGTGAAGTTCACGTAATAGCAACCATTAACCAAGCACTTTAAGAGATGTCCCTGGGCCCCTTTAAACAGTAAGGAACTCCAGCAGATTTGTGGATGACCACGACAGCTAAAACCCTTCTACAAAGAATTATCTCCAGTACTCCCAGGATGTCCTTTGCTGGTCAACCCTCCCTGCCTCCCGCAGCACAATACCTTTAGGAAAAGACACCAATGGAGAAAATCCCATAAAGAGAGGACCTAAACACAGGGAGAAAAATTCTCCTTTGAGCCCTTTTATATTCAGTGAGTAGCTGATGTAAAGACAGTGGGACTTAAACGAATGCCTGTTCAGAACAGCCTATTCTTGCCCCACATGCAGCTTTCCCAAATTTTTAGTTTCACTACACACCTTAACCTAGGCAAAGAAACTTTAAAAAAATAGTATATTCAAACTTCTCAAACATTCCACACTTTGCAACATGGGTTTATATCCTCACTGGAGTCAATACTAGATCAAACTGATCTAAGGTAAGGGGGGAAACGAGAAAGCATTAGCCAGGAATTTGGAAGGATGGGCTGTGAGCATTTGTGTCATGCATAGATTCAAGTATGCATTCTGGAAACTACAGAACAAAACCCACCATATTGCCTGTGACAGAGGGAGCAAGGAATTCGCAAATACTATATAAGGACTGAGCACTCCAGATGGTAAGCAGCACAATAGTGAAAAACGCTAACAAACAAGAACTCTTCCCCTGTGAGCTGCTGCAGTGGAGGACCACAAGTAGTCGGGACCCTGCTTAGCACTCGTCAGTCACTCTTGGAGTGAAGCAGCCGACACATAAAAGAGCCTTCCAGAAGCACCAGCAGCACCGTAGCAGGCCACGTCATTGGCTCAGAATCTGACCTTCACAGACACTGAAACCTCATGGCCTACCACTTCATCATTCAAAGGCTTGCCTGACCCCTGCTTCCTCCTCAAATGCCATTTTTTTTTCTATTTTCCCTGAGATCCTTACTATGCTGGTGCTTTGCAGAATTTGACCCATCACATTCAAATGGCTGCAGTACACTAAAGCAGCAAATTGCCTGGTTCAGACCTTTCCAACCCTCTTAATTTTGTAAGTTCTGACATCTGACACTGAAGAAAGTATAGTGTCTGGACAAATTCCCTCACTAGTTTTAATCTGTCAAGTACTGGATGGTTTTCAAAGGAAAAAATACTTATTGCTGTTGATAAAAGTATGTGGAAAATTGATTTTTGATGTCTCTGGTCATCTGTCTACCTGAAGACGTTTTCCAAGTGGTTTACACAAAGCAACAAATGTATAAAATTTTAGGTTGATGTTTTTTCGGGGGAGGGGCGGGGAGAAGCTGAGTTGGGGGGAAGTGGAAAGATTTTACAATGCACCCGTCAAATAAAAATAGCTACCTGTCACTATGTAATTGCAGAAACAGGTAGTTGTGACTGCATCCTCTATGCACGCTGGACTTTCAAATGCAAAGTGTCTGGACTGTACCCAGGAAGTGTATTTGTTTGTGGTGTTTCTATGAAATAAGAACCCTGGGCTAGGAAAGGAAAATCGTCTAGCAACACAGTGCATGTACTGAATAAACAAAGGCAAAATATTAATCGGAGACTGGAACAAGTGGCAAGTTGGTAATCCAGACAGATGAAGGGTTTGAGGTAGCGAAAGGAAAAGATAACATGAGGACAGATGAATAATCTGCCACAGACAAGGATATGACCTATGAGGGTAAGGAATATTTTTATTACTTACTACATTACCTAACACAGAATCTCACTAATGGCATTTTAATACTTTGCAAAATCCCATCAGGTTATTCCAGTTCAAAACAACTAAATTTTTACAACACTGAGTACAATTTGTAGATGACTGCCTCCTAAAGGCCAAATGTCTTTTGTCAATACTAACAGCTACTTATTTAACACTGGTGGAGATACGCAACAAAAGCAGGTAGGTTCTTTGTTAAATCAGAAACTCACTATGGCGCTAATTGACAGATCATTTGTAAGACTGAAAGCTGATCATCCACTAAAAGTCTCACCATAAACAAAAACATTTTGATTAAATAGAAAAATTACATTGCATAAGACTGATTTACTTGATGCCTACGCAAATGCTCTCCTAGCTCCTTTCCAACAAACCATTCAGCCAATTCCTCATACAACCAACAGATCTCAGCACATCTGACTTCACCATGAAGCAGCCACCACTGAGGCTAGCTGCTTCACACACACCCCCCCCGACTTTCTCCCTCATTATGTGCTCCCACTCCTAACACCCCATTCCACTAGTTTAAGAGCTCTAATACACCTCCAACTTCTTACTAAAAATGTAACAGCCTACATGAAAGTAACTGAATGCTGTTGCAGACAGAAAGCAACACAAGAAAAATATGCTACTACTATGATTCATAGTAGCATCTCCTGAACATGGGAAGTAACATGGCCCGGTAAGTCATTACAGTGTTAATGGAACCATTCAAAACCACTCCTGACCTGGATGAGGATGACACTGGCAGCATCAGATCATTTCTCTGTTTGGATCTAAGGGTGCCCTCAAACCACCTCTTCCTTTATGAAGATGTCATTACCTTCTTCCCCTACAGCTATACACACAAAAAATATTGGCCACTTACCCTGTAGATCTCCTCAAGCAACAGCTTAGCACAATTCCGTCCAAGTTCCTCAGGAAGCACAGCTGCTCCCTGGCCCTGAGGATTTGAGGCTAGCTCAGCACTGAGAATAGTGCCATTAATGGTTTCTGCAGTAAGGCACATGCCAAAACCTGGTGATCTGAAAGAAAGTGAAAAAGTGCATTTGATTTAAGGGGAATAGAGAAAAAAAAAGAAAAAAAAAGATCAAGTAATGAGCCAAAAAATACTCCCAGCCAGCCTCTTCCTCAACTCACAACCAGCTCCTTTCATAGGACAATACTGGGAATCTGGACTTGCTGACAAATTTCCTGTTCTATACATTTGATTCACAGTTGAGAAAATATTAACAACAGTATTTAAAAGTTAAACCCAGTACCACTTGCCCCAAAACCACTGTACTGGCTATTCTTGGCACGAACTCTTTAAAAAAGAAAAAAGCGGGGAAAAAAAGAAGATCCAAACCTCAGAAATATCTCCCTATATTAAAAGAAAAAGAATGTACTGTCATTCACATTTATTTGTTTGATGAACATTTCAAAGATATCTGAAGTTTCTTCTCTGCAACATTCAAAAGCAAAACTAACTTTCTTTGAGGATCAAGCTCTTTCACTGAAAGCTTCAATATTTAGCAAGATTAGACCATAGCCATGGCACCAAGCAGGAGAATAAACAAAAAACATTACTTGTCCACATTACTTGTATTTCCAACCACTTTTCACTTTCAGTTCAGTACCACCAAAACCATTGCAACAGTGTAAAAATTCTGTACATATGATTCAGATAAATTGTTGTCCTCAGAGCTTAGGATCCAACAGAATTCTGTTGTGACAGTTAAGAAATGTTTTTGCTTCGATAAAGTCACAGATGGCTGAGCAAAGCTTCCTGAGAAATCAAACAGTTCTAAGGAAGGAAAAGAAAGTCACAAGATCCTCTTATTTATAGCTACTGGAAGAGCCCCAGTAGCTCGTCGTTCAAAGTAAGATTAACTTAACTTCCTGCAGTTCTGGACTCCTGCTGCCTCCACCACCCAAACTTATTAATTAAAATAGTCTCACTGACCCAAAACTGTAAAGAATCTCACCAACATCAACAAACCACAAAATCAAACCCCAAAACACACAAACTCCCCCAGTACCAAGAAAACAACAGTTTCTCCAGATATATCTCAGTAGGGAAGGAAAGCAAAGTTATCAGTGGTTCCCACCCATATTTAACTGCCTGCACTTGCTAAGCAACACAGGAAGTATATTTCTCTTTGCCTTTCATTCCTCTCTAAGAGATATCTAGACAGCAAGACGAGAACAGTGTCAAAGATGCTATTTTTTAGACAAGTATCCTTTAATAACCATACCCACTGGCAGATTTGGTTAAGTGTCCAGTGGCAACTGACGTAAATAAAAACTGAAATCATCCAGCGCCTCACGTTTGTGCAGACAGTATTAGGAAGCATCTACACAAACTTTTTGCTGCAAATGCTCCACACAGAACTAGGAAGTTTCTGTTTACAGAAACATTATAGGTGGCAGAAGATGCTCAAATAACACATTCCCTGAAGCTTCTGGCACTGTGGAAGGGATACAGTTCAGTGTTTTACATTCTGAAATCAGGACTTGGTTTGGGCTCGACACAGATGGGCTGAACCAGCCCTTGCTGGTCCTGCACTGGGAACCAGGTAATAAAAAAAAAGCTTTGCCAGAGTGGCACTATATTAGTGTCAGGTATACTGCAATCATAATGGCACCATACTTAGCTGAATGTGACAGCACAGCAGGATCAGAAAGCTACATGCACCACCAAGGTGGAGAGGAATTTGGTTCCTCTTCCCATGCATTTTTAGATTTTTAGATTTGTAAACTTGCAAATCTATCAAGTTTTCTTTATGGTAATATGTCATAAAGCAGAAACAGTGAAAGAAAATGTGCATGCTTGTATTTGAGCATAGACACAGAAGACTAATTTGTTTTCCAGAGCTTCTTCAACCTCAACAAAAAATGACAAGAGGACAACAAAGCTGACAGATATCGGTGAAACTATGTGAATCACATCCATCACTTGTCTTCTGCTGGCAAACAAAGGATCTGTGGAAGTACAGTAAATTAATGTCTCAATTTTCTAGTCCTTGCTA